GGTTTTATAATACAGAGAGAAATAATAAAGAATAGATCTTACGTTTTGTAGGAAATATTTATGATACTCAAGAGATCGCATCAATTGGTATCAGAGCGAAGTTGCGATTAACACCAACGCTTCGTTAGCAAGGCAGAGATTATATCAAAGCTACGCTGGAGCAAAGTTGAGATTACATCAACACTTTGTGAAATTATGACGTCCGAGAGAAGACGGTTGGAGCGATTGGAAAAATCCGTCGAGAAGTTACGGATTGGTATCCAAAAATTGCTCGAACAAAGTCAAGGACGGCGTCAACGCCATCATAAAAGCCGAAGGGACCGCCGCCCATCACCGCCGCTGCCGCTGCCGAGCCTATCGCCGGAGAAAGAGGAAGAGAGCGACGATGATTTTTTCGAAGAACCCCAAATTTTTGTGAGTTCGCCGGAAGAAGAAGAATCGGATTCAACTGAGGTAAAGTGGGATGAAGACGAGAAATTAACCAGGGAGGAGAACGAAGAGACACAATGGATATTAGGAAATTTCCATGGTGTTCAAAAGAAAGAAGACGAAGAACCGATGGTCAGTTTGGATGAGATGAAATTTGAGAAGGCAATTGAGAAGGTTGATTTGTCGGGAAAAAGATTGAATATTTTCGCTACAATGGCCTTTGGAATTTCATTGGATCAGCATGAACAATGTGTTAAAAAATTTGGTCGTTCATCGTGTTTTTCGGAGTCAATCGGGAAGCAAGTTGATAAGCAAGTCGATGAAGTCAAACATAGGTGGAAACGCAAAGGAGAAGGACCAAATTGACTCGAACCTTGAGGACAAGGTTCATTTCAAGAGGGGTGGTTTGATACGATATATTATTAAATATATCGTTTAATTATTAGTTAGTTAATATTTTATTATTAATTAGATTAGATTGATATATTTAAATATATATATGGCGTGAGTTAGTATATTTAGGATATATATATAGTCGTGTGTTTAGTGATTAGGGGAATATTAAGTATTTTATTAGTTTAGGTAATTATCTTTCCTAGTTAGATTAGGATTCTAGGGTTTTATTATCTTTAAATAGTCGTCTTGTGCTAGGGTTTTATAATACAGAGAGAAATAATAAAGAATAGATCTTACGTTTTGTAGGAAATATTTATGATACTCAAGAGATCGCATCAGTAAATTAGGGTTTGGCCGAAATCCACGTGTGTCTTTTATATACTATACTTGATACAATACGTTTCCTTTTCAATTTGCACGCGATTGTATACATAATTACATATATCATATATGTATCTAGAGGGGAATTATACGTTGAAACATTTTATTTAGGGTAAATTTCATTTTTCCCTCTTGTACTTTAGTTTCATATCGCTTTACCTCTTCTACTTTTGATTGCATTGATTTGCCTTCCTATATTTGAAAAATTGTCCCAAAATATGGCCCTCGTTGTTAGTTGTCAGACAGTTGACATTAACACCGTTCGATCCAAGCTTTGAAATTACAAAAACGCCACATGTCCCAGTTTAAATAATTATTAAAAAAAACTAAAAAAATAAAAAAAATCAAGACAACTAGAAAACATAGTCCATGACACCAGCCACAACTAATTTTTTTTTTTTTTTTACTTTTTTATTTTTTTAATAATTATTTAAACTTGAAGGGGTGGTTTTTTTGTAATTTTCAGACTAAAATCAAACGGTGTTAAGGTCAAAGGTCTGAGAACAAACGGCGATGGCCACATTGAGACAAATTTTCAAGTACAGGGGGCAAATCGATGCAATTGAGAGTAGATGGGGTTAAGTGATATTTAGCCAAAGTACAACGGGGGAAAATAGAATTTACCCTTTAATTTTACTTATACCGGCTGATTGTTAATACGTAGACGGGGTTAAATAATCACCCACTAAGCACATATACACACACGAGTGTGGGATTGTTTATGTGCAGATCTACAGTTAATAATCATGCGTTTACAGCCACCCTCCTGAGGAAATGTCAAATTACGAAAAACTCCCTCATGTTTGAGTAATACAACCACCCATCTGAACTATATATTTTCTTACAAAAAAATTCATATTTCAGCAGGCAAATCTGACATCGTAAGGATAATGTGTAAGACAATTCGTAGTTTCGGAAACTATTCTAAACATAAGGGGTATTTTCATAATTTATCCGATTTTTTTCCTTTAAGCGGTATTATACTATAATACTCTTTTCCTTGAACACAGTTTCGAGGAACGAACCGAAGCAAGAATCAAGAATGAAATCAGAACGATGACGTTTGAAGATCAACGATATCCTTTGTCACATGCAGCATGCCTATGCTTTACAATAAGAAAAAAAATATTATTATTCTCGTCATCATTCATGTAATTATTTTACTTAGGGAACATAAATTATATTATTATATTATTTAAATAAATAAAATAAAATAATATGGATTTGATAAATAAAAGTGTGAAACCGTTGATTTAGGCGTAGAAAACGGATTCACCTTACCAATTAAACAAATATTACTTTATAGTACTTTCATTTTAATTAATTAATTAATTAATTTTTAAGGTTTGCAAGAATCTTTATTCTGAAATTTGTCTCTGGTTTTGACCAATTAAGTACGCATGATGAAGATCTTTGGACCCCGTAAAAGTTACTATAAAGTTAAAAGAGTTTTTTTATTTTCATAATTTTTATTTTCTATGTGGAAGAATATACGACGATATATGTGCACTGAAGTAGTTTTACACGAGAGCTGCAAACAACACCAGATAAAATATACATATAATTAGTTCGACTTAAAAAATGGTTATCGAACTCGAGTACTTATACAGTGCCATTAACGGAGTCAGAATTTTAAGTAAGCGTAAGTTGATTGGATTAAAATTCTTATGAGAGGGAACCGATAATTCTATTAAACAAGAAATAACTTAAATTGTTGTATAAAATAAGATGAATTTGAGAAATATTGGGGGTTATGGCCCTCCGCCCTATATTGACTTCGTCGTTGGACACAAACTTACTAGAACACTCTTGAAGATATATTAAAAAAAAAATTAGTTGAAATTAAGGAGGGCCATGTGACATTTAGGAATATGATGAGCTAATATTAGACAAAGAATCTCATACTTTTTTATGGTGTAATTTAGTTATGGTAGGAATAATATTTTCAAAGGTTCTTTTTTCATTGTTCTAGTAATTTTATTCCATTCATCTTTTGGTCCAAGGTTCACATTCTTTTTCATCTTTTAACAATGATAATAATAATAAAGGAAAACATATTACTAAATAAAATAAATAAATATAATCAAACATTTTCAGAAAAAAAAAAAGGAAATAAATGCAATTGAAGGGGAATTTAATAATTAATTTATTTTCTTAAAAAGACAAAAATGTAGTACATGATATCTGAGTCACTGCCACTGTGCCACATTAGCTTTTTCTGTCATTATATTTTTGACTGGAAGACCAATTTATCTTTACTAATACTAACCAACAAAATTTCGACTGGATTTTCCACGTCATTAAATTCTCAATTAACCGCTATTTTGTGTACTATTTTTTTTAATGAAAAATACAAGTGTAAAATTGAAATATTATTAAAAATATAAGGGTAATTTTGTCTTTTCATCTAAGCCAACAGCTAAATTCGATATAAGGAACGGTGCGCAAAATAAAACACAACATATTTAGTTATCTTCTAAATTTTGTTATCCGGACGGTTTTTTTTGCACTTACGAAATAACATGGAATTATCTCGTAATATTTTGAAAAGGAAAAAAAAACAACAACTAACAAATCAAAATAAATCCAAAACAAATCACAATCCTCTAAATACTCTTGGCTTTTGATGTTGAGTCGTTTGACTCCTCTTTCAAAAATGGCTCTATCATAGGTTGATAGGTCAAACCTCAAAACTCAATTAATTAAGCACGTTATGAAACATTTATAAATTAGAAAACAATATTATCTCCATTCAAATTCGATGTGGGACTAAAGTTGAAGAAGATATCTCGACAAAATTAATAATTTCTGCCGTCTTCACTTGATAAAAACATACTAAATTTTAGCTTGATAATTTAATGTTTCTCTAAATTGGTTGAATTTTGCTGATCACGACTGAATTAGTTTATAGATGCTTAGCTATTTAATTTAAAATCGGAATTTGAAATTGGAGATATTCAATCTGATGAATATGTGGCTATGTGGCTGCCGTACAGCCATCTAAGTGTAAGCATTAACACTAGTACGTACAAGCTCATGACAAGTGTGAATTTTCTTTTTCTAGAAAAAAAAAAAAAAACAGCTTCTTTCAGACATTGCCTCATAAAACAAGGGGCCGGTTTAAATACCCTTTAAAATTAAGGGACTATTCACTCAAAAAAATAAAAAAAGAATTTAGGGACTATTTATTTATTAATAATTGAAGGACAATTTTACTATGTTAGGGAAGCACAAATAAAATGTCAATTTTTAAAATTTTCCAAAAAACCCAAATCAGTGGGTTTTCTTTCTAGTGGTGTGATTCACAGAAGACACGTGTCAGAAGCCCGATTAAAATGTGATGGGCCACCATCTGCTTCCACGTGGAGCTGAAGCTGCGTTGGTCTCTTGACGGCGGCGGCAAAGAGGTTACCAAGCACGGTGTTGTTGATTGGTGGGGTCCTCATGTGGAGTGGTGGCGGTGGGCGATGGTGGTGGTGCCCCCCT